GATTGATTGATACTGGACACAGGTTCTGCAGAGGGTTGTTACAGTGGTTAAATATTTGACAGAACGGGGACTTGCTTTTAGGGGGGAATGTCACAGGTTTGGAGATATTAATAATGGCATTTATTAGGCTGCATGGAGCTGATCAGTCAGTATGATCCTTTTTTAAAAGCTCATATTGAAAAATATGGAAATGCTGGCCAAGGAAATCCATCCTACCTCTCCCTGAATGTGTGTGAGGAATTCATACAGATGATGGAACAAACAGTGCTGGATGAAATTATCGGGTGAGTGAAACTTGTAAAGTACTTTTCTATCAGTGCAGACTCCACACCTGATATCACACATGTTGACCAGCTGACTTTCATTCTGCGAAATGTGCCGCCAGAGGGCTGTATAGAGGAGTGTTTGTAAAATTCCTCCCCACTGAAAGCTATACAGGAGAAGCACTGTTCAATTCAGTTGTGATTGTTTTAAAAGAGATGGGCATTGAAATGAAAAACTGCAGAGGACAGTACTATGACAATGCTAGCAACATGCCAGGAGCCTACAAAGTTGTGCAGGCCCACATCAAAGAGGTCAGCACATTGGCAGAGTGGGTACTGTAGCATCATGAAGGTTCCCTGTGCTGCACATACCCTAAACCTGGTGGGTGTTAATAATGTCAACTGCTGTGAGGAAACTGAACATTTTTTCAGTTTTGTTCAAACTCTGTTCAACAGCAGATGATCAGAGCAGGCTTGCAGCCCAATGACAATCAAAGAATAGAGACTTTGAAATGGCTTTCTGATACAAGATGGTCATCACATGCTGTTGCAGCCAAAGCCCTGTGTCAGAATTATGCTGGAATCCAGCAGGAAATAGTCAACATTGCAGATGACGAACATCAAAGTTTGAGCACAAGATAAAAAGCAAAAACACTTCACAAAAAGATGAACAAACTGGAAATTGCATTCATGAGCAACATGTGGAATGCCATCCTGCAGCGTTTCCAGGGTGTGAGTACCACACTACAAGCAATAGAGCTGGACCTTTGCAATGCTGTGGATCTGGTCCAGTCATTGCGTAACTACATAGCAGGCCTGCGGGATCAGTTTGACATCTTTGAGACATCTGCAAGGAAGACGTCCCCTTCTGTGTCTGAAGAGTACAATGCAGATACACAACGGAAGAAAAAAAGAAAAAAATAGGCTGATGAGTCATCTGAGCCTGAGTGCGAGCTTTCAGGTAGTAGACGGTTCTCTCTCTCTCTGTGTGTGTGTGTGTGTGTGTGTGTGTGTGTGTGTGTGTGTGTGTGTGTGTGTGTGTGTGTGTACGTCGGCATCATTGACCGGTTAGTGTCAGAACTAGACAGAGATTCCAACCAGACAGAAGATTCCAATCATGACCATTTTGGCTTTTTGAACAAACTCAACTTGATTTCTCCTGAAAACCTCCAGTTAAAAGCATTGAACTTGCAGAGGAAATACAGTTGTGATTTAGAAGAGGACTTTATGGAGGAGGTGGTCCAGTTCAGTGAGTTTGTAAAAAATGAGCAACATGTCGGCAGTGGAGTTACTAAAAATTTTTAAGACAATGGAACCTCCACACTGTTTCCAAACACAGACATTACTCTAAGGCTATTCCTGACTTTGCTGGTGTCCAGTGCAAGTGGAGAGCGATCCTTCTCCCAGCTGGACTTGGTGAAAAATAGACTGTGCTCAAGCATGCAGCAAGATAGTCAGTAACCTCACTCTGATGTCCACTGAGCATGACATTCTTCCAGATTTGGATTTTAAGGACATTAACACAGCTTTTGCTACAAAAAAGACCAGACGAAAGCACTTTTAAGTGTTCAGGTCTTTGTTTACTGCTTTCCAGTAGCACACATTTGAAATTACTGTAGCTTTTCACTGATTTAAGAGAAATGTGAGATTTTTTTAGACTAAATTTGACTGCAGATCATCTTTAAATGTAAATCAATAAGCACTTGCTGACACATTGGCCATCTTGCTGTCCTTGGTGCTGAAAGGAGTGTGTGTGTGTGTGTGTGTGTGTGTGTGTGTGTGTGTGTGTGTGTGTGTGTGTGTGTGTGTGTGTGTGTGTGTGTGTCCTAAGTTTTGTTATTTAAAGAGAAGGTCCTTGCACTGACCTGTTTGCTGTTCTTTGTTTCTGCTGTTATCACTGTTTGATTTTTGTGCAGAGGTGATGGTGGTAATGTCCCACCATTTTGTTAAATGCTTCATGGTGTTTAATAAAATTTTCAAATAGATATGTTGGCTTTAATATTGTATTTTCAATTGTTAGCATATTACTTATCTATCAAGCTTGGGTCCCCTACCAGAGGCCTGGGAGCTTGAGAGTCCTGTGCAGCATCTTAGTTCATCCTAGAACTGCACTTTTCTGAACTGAGATGTCTAATGTTTTTCCTGGGATCTGCTTTAGCCCCTCGTCCAGTTTGGGGATTACTGCCCCAAAAACCACGAGTATAGATGTATATATATATATATATATATATATATATATATATATATATATATATATATATATATATATATATATATATATATATATATATATATATATATACATACATATATATATATGTCCCTCCCACTTGTTAAGGGACCAAAAGTAATGGGACAATTGGCTTCTCAGCTGTTCCATGGCCAGGTGTGTGTTATTCCCTCATTATCCCAATTACAATGAGCAGATAAAAGGTCCAGAGTTAATTTCAAGTGTGCAATTTGCATTTGGATTCTGTTGCTGTCAACTGTCAAGATGACATCCAAAGAGCTGTCACTATCAGTGAAGCAAGCCATCATTAGGCTGAAAAAACAAAAGAAACCTATCAGAGAGATAGCAAAAACCTTAGGCGTGGCCAAAACAACAGTTTGGGAGCTCAGCAACACCAAAAGACCCGGAAGACCACGGAAAACAACTGTGGTGGATGACCAAAGAATCCATTCCCTGGTGAAGAAAACACCCTTCACAACAGTTGGCCTGATCAAGAACACTCTCCAGGACGCAGGTGTATCTGTGTCAAAGTCAACAATCAAGAGAAGACTCCACCAGTGTGAATACAGAGGGTTCACCACAAGACGTAAACCATTGGTGAGCCCCAAAAACAGGAAGGTCAGATTAGTTTGCCAAACAACATCTAAAAAGCCTTCACAGTTCTGGAACAACATCCTACGGACAGATGAGACCAAGATCAACTTGTACCAGAGTGATGGGAAGAGAAGAGTATGGAGACTGAAAGGAACTGCTCATGATCCTAAGCATACCACCTCATCAGTGAAGCATGGTGCTGGAAGTGTCATGGCGTGGGCATGTATGGCTGCCAGTGGAACTGGTTCTCTTGTATTTATTGATGATGTGACTGCTGACAAAAGCAGCACGATGAATTCTGAAGTGTTTCTGGCAATATTATCCACTCATATTCAGCCAGATGCCTCAGAACTCATTGGACGGCACTTCACAGTGCAGATGGACAATGACCCAAAGCATACTGCAAAAGCAACCAAAGAGTTTTTGAAGGGAAAGAAGTGAACTGTTTTGCAACGGCCAAGTCAGTCACCTGACCTGAATCCAATTGAGCATGCATTTCACTTGCTGAAGACAAAACTGAAGGGAAACGCCCCAGGATCAAGCAGGAACTGAAGGCTGTTGCAGTAGAGGCCTGGCAGAGCATCACCAGGGATGAAACCCAACATCTGGTGATGTCTATGTGTTCCAGACTTCAGGCTGCAATTGACTGCAAAGGATTTGCAACCAAGTATTGAAATGTATAAGTTTGATTTATGGTTCTTATTCCATCCCATTACTTTAGGTCCGTTAACAAGTGGGAGGCACATATGCAAACTGTTGTAATTCCTACACCGTTCACCTGATTCGGATGTATATACCCTCAAATAAAAGCTGACAGTCTGCAGTTAAAGCACATGTTGTTCGTTTCATTTGATATCCATTGTGGTGGTGTATAGAGCCAAAAATGTTAGCATTGTGTCGATGTCCCAATATTTATGGACCTGACTGTGTGTGTGTGTGTGTGTGTGTGTGTGTGTGTGTGTGTGTGTGTGTGTGTGTGTAGGAAATTTTAAGGGTCGTGGGGGCCTACTGAGCCTCCTTGCCCCGGGGCCTATCAGCTGGTTAAGGCAGCCCTGACCAGGGACTGCAGGTTAGAATGTCTGAGGTGTCGAGGGAATCTTACAAGAGTCGTTGTGTCTGTTATCACTTGCAAGCGTTGCAGAGATTCTTTGACCTTGGGGTCACGAGAGGATGGTCTCAAAATACTTGTTCACCCAGTTCGCCTTATCGAGTGAAAGGTGAAGACTGAGGAATCAGGAAGTGATTCCTGTATTTATCAAATGTTGCTTACAAATCTGACAAATCAGACTTTGACACGTTTAAAAGGGCGTTACCAAATTACCTCAGAAATTACTCCTTCACTCAGATACTCAGAGAGGGTGAAGTGATAATGTTAACAGTTATGTGAAGTGACTGTTAAAACATTCAACAGTTACTACGAGGTGTGAAAATACTGAGATTAAATTGTTAAATCAACAGATACTGATCTGGTGTAGTTTAAAATCTGAAATGAACCATTGCAGGAAAAAATATTCAGTTTAACACATTATTCAAACACTTTGGGATTTAAACATCTTTTTCATTCACACATACATTTGATTATATCAACCTGTAAAGTTGTAAAGTCATTTATGATTCAAAGAAGATGAACTTTATTCAGAGTGAAAGTGCAGAAAGTCTTGTCTTCTGCATGGGCCTCGTCTTCCGTAAAGATAATGGAATTCAGGAAAAGCACCTATTATGGCCAACTTATTTGGTTGCGAGGTCGTAGATCCTTGCTTTTCTTGTTTGGAGGCTAGACAGATGTAATGCGTCCCTGGATGTGTGGCGCGGCTTGTGTCTGGAAATTGAGTTAATTTCTGGTCATTTTGATGTGAATAATTAACCTTTGGGTACGTCACACATGAGACAGAAAGACAGGAGAACATGCCAACTGATTTCAAGTGAAGTTTATTGGTTTTCTTCGGTTAAGTCAACTACAATTAAGTTTAATTCACAGCTAAAGTGTCTTTATGCACATATTACACTAGCTCCGGTTTAAAAATGAACAATAACTCAGCACACAAAACTAGAGGAAAGACTTCAGTGTCACACATCTGTTCCACTATACAAAAGAGAAGTACAAAAAAAGGTAAAAAAGAAGTTTGAGTTGAAAAATTCAGACGTTCACTTTGGGGAAACTTCGTCCAACTGGGGTTCTACAAGACAAAGGTAGATTTATTATCTTCTCTGGTCTTCAAATTCTTTGATAATTAAATCAATATCTAGACCCACATCACACATTAACCACTTACATTAACATAGGCGTTACTGTGATAAGGGTCTCACCTGTAAACTTGAACTCAGGGAATGACGTTAGGTCTCCTCCACCATACAGCCTCTGAAGCTTTGCTATCTCCTCTGCCAAAGCCTTCTCATACTCTGAGCCAGCATCAACCAGACCCCCAGTCGACCTTAGCAAGAATGGATCACACAACAGTCAGTGTTTTATTTGATTTCATGGATATCAGAAGTAACATTTGGGCTGGGGTGGAGACATTTACAGGCTTTTAGTGGAGTACTGCCGTATGGAGTCCAGGAACAGCTTCTGAATGGGGTCCATTTGAGCTGAGCGTCATAAAAAGAAAATTAATCAACAAACAGTCCTTCACCAGAATGCCCACACACACCAGGAATCACACTTGAAATACAGTCCAACTGTAGCCAACATGCACAAACAGCACCTGGGAGTGGTAGACAGCCATCTACAGAAGGGAGATGTGAGAGAGAGAGTAGGAGACAGTTCAGAGAGGTCACAGTAAAGATTTACAGTGCTGCTGTAACACATATAGATGGGTGACGAAAGAAATTCAACCTGAAGGCATATAAGAAATCTACAAATGCCTTATGTGTAGGCTACTCAGGGGATTTCAGCCAATTAGAATAAGACCTGTTCCAAAACACAACAGACATGTTTGCTTAAGATGCCAAGGCTCTTGGGTCTGGTCCAAGTGTTCCCACTGAGTAGCCACGGTCAAAGCTAAGGAGCTACACTTTGCGTCTAGACCTTAAAGAGCTCAAGTTAAAGAGATCAGTGCTGGAAATGTAGTGGAAGGTTTAACTCTCTCTACGGATCACTCAGTTATCCTTCTTAAGAAGACAACCACAACTTTGAAGTCCCTCTTCAAGACAGATGAACCGGTTCTTTTGGACAACATGCATCTTAAATGCCTTTTCATTTGGAGTGCGGTTGACATGAGAGACACTAAATTACAAGGGTTGTGATGAATGCATGAGTATTGTAATAATGTGATGATATTCCAACGGCTTCTGCACGGGATGGTTGGTACCACTGAAATTAACAAGCACAGTATTCTAGAACGATCTGTGACTGTTGGGACCAAAGGATAAATGACCCACACATGACCTGAGTGGTGAGAAGTAAAGAGACGAGCGTTCATGGGTTAGGGTTAGGTAAGTGACCTCTCCTCAGTCATAAGGATAGGAGAACCAGCTCCTCGGGTCAACACTCAGATATACACCTACATCTATAAGATAGGGGACACTACATTGAGAAACATTTTTGAAGAAAGAAGTTTAACTAAAACAAACAAAAAAACTCAGGAAAACCAGCACCAAACAGGTGAACTAGCGTTTAATATAAAACATAAAATGTTCCTTTGGCTCTTCCTCCCAGTTTCAGTATTTTGAAACGTGTTCGTGCAACACCTCACATCAGCGAGTGTCAAGTGAAACAACCTCAACGGCTCACAGGAGGGACAGGTCGGCTCTGACATTTAATCTTGTGACATCAAAGACACCCTATGAACTCTGAACTCTCAAACTACAATCAGAACTTAAGAAACTTTTAGAGCAAGAGATGAAATGTCTTCAGGAAACAAAAGCTCAGGTGGACAGAAAGAAAAGCTTTTGGCTCACCATTTTCTGAACAACTGAGGAGGTTTTACACACTAGGAATGATGTGCAAGTGTGAGAAAAGAAAGCCTGTCGATTTCAACCTGGATAAAAAATAGACTAGGAGTTCCAGCCTTCTTCTGTTGTTGGAAAGTGAATCCAGCAGTATCCCACTCGCAGACACTGCCTTGTTGTATTTTTGGGACAAGTGTCAGCACTTGAGATCAAAGACTAAAGAGCCGAACAGTCCTCCCGAGAATTTTCCCAGTAATTCTGAAAGAAGGGAACAGACAGAACAGAGGGCACACGAAGACCCTGAAAGAAAAAAAAAACACCTTAAAAAAGTCAACTGAACGTCTGGGCAACAGCTCGTCTTCCAACATGTCAACAACCCAAATCATCTGTCCTTCAGTGAAGACAACTAGGTCCAGACCCTTTGATGAACCAATGCATTACACCTCAATCCCTGACCCCTTCTTTCCACCGGAGCCGTCAGCAGCACGTTACTGCAGCAGCACGTCATAGCTGCTGATAGGAACCGCTGTGGTCAACAGAACCTTTTCCACTGGAGCCGTCAGCAGCGCGAGTCGGCCGCGTCTCAGGAGCAGCATGTCGCGGCCTTTACGCGCCGGTTCTATTTTCTACGCGCGATGCCTCTGAAACGGGTCAAGTTCGACATTTTTGGGGAAGGAAAGACAGGAAATCGGACACGGAAACGGAGCAAAGCTTCCCGAGATTTTCAGAATAAAGAAACGTACTGCCTTCCGGTTGCTTTACTTTAAAAAAAGTTGCTAACTGTGCGGCCCCGTGAGAAGTTATCACCTAGCTAGCGGTCTCCTTTGTTTTTCAGGTCCGTATTGGCGATTATAAAACGGACAGAACATAAAACACAAACATTTTGGAGTCATGTTGTAGTTTTCTCCTGCTTGTTGTTGTGTTTACTGACAAAGTCACTCGTGTGACTTCGTGCTCTGTCGGTGACAGCTGCTGCCCTGCTGCTTCGCGTCTCGTGGGATGGGCCAAGCAGCAGCTTACGCGAGCAAGACGTGCTGCTGCAGTAACGTGCTGCTGACGGCTCCCGTGGAAAGAAGGGGTGAGTCTGACATTAAATCATAGTTAATTTGTCACCCATGTGCAGCTAGTCAATAGTGTGGTAGCCAAAGAGCACCAGTGGATTTCTGTACAACCCTAAGATATTCAACACCAGAGAACACATTTCTAACTGGTTTGGTTACATCACACATCTCACGCATCTTCCACACATCACTGAGAAGATCCAAAGACAGGGCATGAATGAAATCTGAGTATTACCCTTTCCCAACAACTAAACTATGGTTTACAGAAGTCCAAGTGCTTCAGGTCTACTTTCGATGTTGGAGCAGTGTATCTTATGTGTGTTGGGAATGTCATTGGGTAAACATCTCTAGAATTAATTTCTATGATTTCAGAAAATGAAATCATAGAAATTCTACAAGGACCGCAAGAAGAAGTACCGAATTTCTGCAGGTATGAAAAATTAGTAACACAAGGAAACACATTCTCAACCAGGAGACGTTAGTACCAAAGCATGTCCCAGACATAATGCCAGTCAAGTCTAGAACCACAGTGCTGTGACAGGAAGTTGTGAACCATACAGAAATAGCTAAAAAGGAACAAACGCAAAGGACAACCAGCTGCATTCAAGCTGCAGCAAAGATGGCATGGCTAAAAGGTGGGGTAGAGCAGGAAAGGGGTAGTGCTTTGATCTTACACTTACAAACAACACAAAGGGAGTGTTGAAAACAAATTGTAAGGTTTCAAATAAGTGTGTGTTACGTTCCTTACTTCAAAGGCAAATGTACTACTGTTGTCGTGTAACCCCCAAATTCCACTACCTCCGCTCCGCTCCGGTCCGCCCCCGCCTTCCGCAGCCGCTCGCTTCCGAACTCAATTTTTACTGGTACCCGCTCTACAACGGCTTCGCTCCGGTGCGGAGACCTGAGGTGGGCAAACAAGCATGCGCGGGATTTTCGAGATCTTGCGATACAGTCCGAGCAATAAACGCGGAAGTTAGATCCAAACACCCGTTGTGTGGGAGAAGCATCGAAATGAACTGTTTAATCTGCCCATCATTTGTGTTGAGAGATCAGCAGTGTTTGGATCAACAAAGTGTGACTACTTTGATAGTAGAAACTGTATTTATGGCTTACTTTTGTGCATTTAAACTTCAGCCGCCATTGATAGTTGTTAAAAGTTGTTAAACCTGTGCATATGAAACAAAAAACGCCTTTTGTTTATCGATTTATTGTGAAAAACGGAAGTTGTGCTTGCTCCTTTTCCTGTTGGGCTGTTGTGATTTCTGTCCATTTACTGCGGAGGTGCTCCGGCGTCCGGCAAAAATAGGATCGATTCTATTTTTGCCGGACGCCGGAACAGAGGGCGGCGCACTGCGCCGCACTGCCGGAGCACGGCCGCAGTAGTGGAATTCCTCTGATTGACTACAACGGGACCGATTTTGCTCCGGCGTTCATGTCGGAGCGGAGCGGAGCGGAGGTAGTGGAATTTGGGGGTAAGTGGTAATGGAAAAAAAGTCTGGCAGACAGCAGGGACAGTAGGAAGGTTTGGAGGTGTGGGCGTTATGATGTGTACCCTCAGATGGTTCAACTGGTTGAACCGGTTCAGTGGTAGCCTCCCCTTGCAGCTCCTCTTCTGCAGCCTCAGCTGAGATCGGGACAGGTTCAATCAGCTCCTCTGCACTCTTGCCAGTGGTGGAAGCTTCAGGCAAGGACTCAGGGGTTCCGTCTACTGGAGCTGCTTCAGTCACGGGCTCCTGGGCAGCTTCATCTATGGGTTCTGTAGTCATCTCTACAGGTGCAGCTTCATCTATGGGTTCTGTGGTCATCTCTACAGGTGCAGCTTCATCTATGGGTTCTGTGGTCATCTCTACAGGTGCAGCTTCATCTATGGGTTCTGTAGTCATCTCTACAGGTGCAGCTTCATCTATGGGTTTTGTAGTCATCTCTACAGGTGCAGCTTCATCTATGGGTTCTGTGGTCATCTCTACAGGTGCAGCTTCATCTATGGGTTCTGTGGTCTTCTCTACAGGTGCAGCTTCATCTATGGGTTCTGTGGTCATCTCTACAGGTGCAGCTTCATCTATGGGTTCTGTGGTCTTCTCTACAGGTGCAGCTTCATCTGTGGGTTCTGTGATCACCTCAACAGGTACAGCTTCAGCTATGGGTTCTAGGGCCACATCCACTTCAGCCATAGGCTCCAGGGCAGCTTCAGCCTTCAGCTCTGTGGTCACCTCTATAGAAGCATCTTTGGCAACGGGTTCAGGAATTGAATCTTCAAAAGCAGTTTCAACAATGAGTGCAGCTTCAGCTACAGGTTCTGGAGCTTCTTTAATTGTGGGCTCTGCGATCACCTCTGCAGGAGCAACTTCAGCCACCAGCACTGGGTCCACCTCTACAGTGGGGGGCTCTGGGGCTACTCTTCCAGGAGCAACTTCCACTGTGTTACTTGTTAAAGTCTCGAAAAGAGCTTGTTTGGGCAGATCCTCTACAATTTCTTCAACTGGAACTTTAGCAGCAGCTTCTGCTGTTGGCTTAGTTTCTGTATCAAGAGTGGGATCTATTGCTGATTCAGCATCAGACACTGTAGAAGAAGCTGTTTCCACAGATGAATCTTCAACAGCTTCAACGACAGCTTTGGTTGACTCAGCAGTGGGTGCAACTTCACTAACCGGGTCAGATGACCCAACTGGCTTAGATTCTAAAACACCTTCAGCCACAGGGATGGCTTCCACTGCTGTTTTTGCTTCAGCTGCTGAAGCGGGCTCATTGACAGCATTGACAGTAGGAGTGACTTCTATCACTGGGGTGGGAGCCTTGATGTCAGAGGTGGACACCACAACCGCAGGTGCAGCAGCATGGATTTTAGGCTTGGTTACAGATGAAACGGGGGCTCTAACTGCAGCTTTTGCTGCTGTGGTGGAGGCTGCCGGAGAACTAATGTCCTTCTTGGGAAACTTGTATGGTTTGTGCTGAACGAGTTTTTCTATATCGAAGTATGTTTTTGGCTGTTTTTTGTCTAGGACGAAGGAGGAAGGCAAGCAGACAGAATTATTTATTTATTATGTTCTTTTAGGTATAATTGAATGGCAAAATATTGAACAGAAACATAGAAAACCATGAGAAACAATCAAAATGGACTAGATATGCAAGAGAAAATGGGCTCTTGTAAAGTCCAGCAATGTATTCTAACATAGCATTTTTATTTTAGACCAACTTTCTTTTGTTAGTGCATCTTAATCCAATTATTATTGACTCTTAACACTGTTAGCAGAACCTGGTCAAAGTGGTATAATGTGACTTTCTATGTAGCAAACCGAAGCATTGCATAGTATGTTTCTGTGCCTGAACTAACCAAACTAGTTAACTCTATTTCCATTTTTGGTTCTGTTTTAAACACAGATACGTTTTTTTCTTTACCTTGCTGATGTTTCGTTTGTGGGCAACCTCAGCCAGACATCCTCAGAGCTGACGCTGAAGGTGGCGTCACTTCCTATTCCATTTATCCGCGGGCAGCAGAGGACGTTGTTGCCCTCTGCTGCCCAACTCAACATGAACAATAGAACATAGACAGGAGTGTGAGAAAGTCGAAGACACACAACAGCAGCAAAAGCCGTAACAGACCACTGCACAAGAGAAAACCATATAATGGACTGGGACAACACAAGGATCATAAACACCGAACAACAGAAATACAAAATATGGATAAAAGAAGCTATCCATATAAGGAGACGTGGATGTGGGACCATGAACAGAGACGATGGGGTCTACAAATTAGATCGTGCATGGGACTGCATCATTGGAGAGGGGAGAGCGGGCAGCAGAGGGCAACAACGTCCTCTGCTGCCCGCGGATAAACGTAGTAGGAAGTGACGCCACCATCAGCGTCAGCTCTGAGGATGTTTGCAGCCGCAAACGAAACGTCAGCAAGGTAAAGAAAAACCTTATAGAATAGAATAGAATAGAATAGAATAGAATAGAATAGAATGCCTTTATTGTCACTATACAGATGTAAAGTGAGATACAGAGCAATTCCTACTCAGTGTAAAAAAACATACTGGGGAGGGGGGGGGGGGCAGTTCTGCAGTGCTATGTACATATGGACAGTTATAGTGTTATGTATATACAATTATTGCATATAAAATTGGTATAAATAGATAATGGTGGTCAATAGAGGCAGTGGGAAGTGGGGGGCTGTGTTATCGGTGCATGTGTGAGTTCAGGGTGGTTATTGCTTTGGGGAAGAAACTGTTTTTGATTGTGGGTTTTTGTATTAATGCACCTGTAGCGCTTCCCTGAGGGAAGCAGTCTGAACATGTTGAAGCCAGGGTGGGAGCTATCCTTGATGATGTTTGCTGCCCTACTGAGGCAGCGGGAGGAATAAATGTCCATCAGGGAGGGGAGAGGACAGCCGATTATGTGTTTAAAAAATAATCAAAAATGGAATTTGAAGACAAACACAGCAAGAACGTACAAAAGACAGTTAACTCTATGAAGACCTCTGCATGCCCCCTCCACATCTTACCCTCAACTTTGTTTAAAAGTGCTTTTCAGTCCATCGGTCCCAGCGTGCTCTCTATAATTAATGCTTCTCTGGTTTCTGGTCAGGTCCCTGCTTACTTTAAGAACATTGTAACCCACCCGCTTCTTAAAAAAACCGAGTCTTGACCCCTCTCTCCATGACAGCTTCAGTCATGTTTTCGTAGAGCTCATTCTACTGAAACAGCTCTTCTTAGGGTCTCTGATGACCTTCTGACCCACAGGGGACTGTTCTGTTCTGGTCCTGCTGGACCTGACTGCAGCCTTTGACACGGTTGACCATCACCTGCTACTGGAGAGGCTGAGAGACTGGGTAGGCCTATCAGGAACTACTCTGAAGTGGTTCTCCTTTGATCTTTCTGAGAGCTCCTTTTCTGTGGCCGTCTCCAAGTTTAGGTCCTCCACCACCTCCCTTACCCATGGTGTCCCGCAAGGTTCTGTGCTGGGGCCTCTGCTCTTCCTCCTCTATCTGCTTCCTCTTCAGCACATCCTGAGCTCCTTCAAAGGAATCTCCTACCATCTTTATGCAGATGACATCCAACTGTACATCTCCTTTAAGCCCCATGAGATGTCTAAGCTGCAGCTGTTATACACCTGTTTAGAGACTATTCAAACCTGGATGGTGGGAGCTTTCTTTAGCTGAATGAAGATAAGACTGAGATCCTCATCTGTGCCCCAGACAAGCTGGTTCCCAAAGTCAGAGACTCTCTTGGTCAGCTCGCTTCTCACACCAAACCCTCTGTCAGGAATCTTGGTGTGACCTTTGACCCAGCTCTCACCTTGGATTCTCATGTCAGTTCTCTTGTTCGCTCTTCCTTCTTCCATCTCAGGAACATTACTAAGCTGAGTCCCATTCTGTCTCGCTCTGAACTTGAGACAGTTCTCCACACCTTCATCTCCTCACGCTTAGACTACTGTAGCTCTCTTTTCACGTGTCTGAGCAGAACCTCCCTGAACCGTCTACAGGTGGTTCAGAATGCCTGTGCTCGGCTTCTGACCGAGTCCTCCAAACACACCCACATCACCCCGCTTCTCCTCCAGCTTCACTGGCTGCCAGTCAACTTCAGGGCTCATTTCAAGATCCTGGTTCTGGTCTATAGGGCCTTACATGGACAAGCACCATCTTACATTGGTGATCTTCTTAGTCCCTACACCCCCAGCAGGTCCCTGAGGTCCAGTGACCAAAGCATACTGGTTGTGCTGCACCAGGCTAAAGGTCAAAGGTGACAGATCTGCGGCCCCCAGACACTGGACCTCTCTCCCCCTGAGCCTGGGATCAGGGGACTCAGTGGTCTCCTTTAAAAAGCAGCTGAAAACTCATCTCTCTCTCTCTCTCTCTCTCTCTCTCTCTCTCTCTCTCTCTCTCTCTCTCTCTCTCTCTCTCTCTCTCTCTCTCTCTCTCTCTCTCTCTCTCTCTCTCTCTCTCTCTCTCTCTCTCTCTCTCTCTCTCTCTCTCTCTCTCTCTCTCTCTCTCTCTCTCTCTCTCTCTCTCTCTCTCTCTTTTTTTTTCTAAATTCTTTTTTATATTTCAAATTTTTTGTTTTTCGTTAGCGCCTCATCTTGAGAGGCGCTAAAGAAAAGATTGTTTCTTCTTCTTCTAGCATACAGCAGGTTAAGGTGAGGTTAAGGTTCATCTGTAGGTGATTTACCTTTCTCAGAGAGAAACCTAGGAATTTAAGGGTTAAATGCATTACGTATCAGTTTGGACTGTTTATTAAATTTTCCTAAAAGAGTCACTAATATCGTCTGGCTGAATGTATCGCAATACAACGTGACATATTGTATCGCCAGAGTTTCACCAATACAGATCCCTAATGTTCTTTATCAGGAATGTCTCAGTACTCTCCAATCCAGGTCCTTGAGATCCCCCTACCCAACATGTTTCCTGCTCCAACACACCTGTTTAGCAGCCCATCCGGCACTGCAGAAACCTGTTAATCACCTCAAATCAGAGTGTAGGAGCAGAGAAACCACTAAAACAAGCTAGATAGCGGCTCTCTGAGACCAGGGTTGAAGAGCACTGATCTAATCCATCCTGGGAGATGTAGGCATGTCACTGGAACAGAGCTGTACCACAGTTCAAGTTTGATAAAGGCTAAACATCCCAACACAGCAGCATCGGCACACAGGCGTACCTGGGTTGGCTGTACTGACTGGCTTCTTCGGTCCAGATTTTGAGCTCAAAGCTGCAGCTGGAGGCATTCTGCTCAGAGTCATCCAGCTCTCGGCCTGTAAACACTGACAACACACACATGCGCGCACACACACGCCATACAAGTAAACAGGTGAGTCTAACCGGTATAATCATCCTCACCTGTACACCTGTTAGCTTTATCAAGTAGAACCAGACCAGTTAATTGGTTTCCTAATTCGATCAGCTGATTTTGCATTTGCCTCATTATAGTTGATCTACTAAAACCAGCTAAGCTGATGCTAAAATGTTCTGACATCTCACCAGAAAGACAAAACAAACAAGGTTTGTTGTTTTAGCAGCTGACCCAAATTATTAGTGTTCAGGAAACACATTCCATCAGCTGTTCCCGGCTTCACCAGAGCAGGAACAGACAGCTTGTGTTTCATTTTCAAAGCTGTGCAACAGAAATAAGTCAGACTGAGTGTATTTTGTGCATCTTGCTTATACCTAATGTTTGTCTTCTCTGCATGGATTAGTCATGTCTGATTTTGCAGAGTGAGACTGTCTGTCATGGGAAAAATTGGAAAAATAGGAAATGCAGTCTTTCCCAGAAGATGTGAACTGGGATCAGCTTCATAAAACTGAGCTATGTACAGAAGTAAAGTCTAGCTACACACACCTAGAAAATCAAATTCCATCACAGTGAGTGCTGGAGGCCTACGTGTCTGGTTTAAATCTGCTCCATCAGGCGTGCAGCTCAAACAATGATGTGCTTTCCTTTCCCCTGACATGTCATGTCATGAACATTCACTGTCAGAAGCCATAGATTCATCCTGAAGGCTAGGGCGTCAAAGCAAAAGACAAGATGTTCCAAAATCACAGCATGCAGCAGTGGTATATTTTACCTTAGCATGGCTCAAGCGTCCCATCCTCAGCAGGGAGGTCGCCATTCTGCTGTGCAGCCAGTCTACACATCAAAATAAACCCACATAAATCAACACAGCAGAACATCTGCAGCAGTGCATATAAGAAGAATCTTACACGGTTCTGAAGAGCAAGGCAGCTGAGCAACACTTTGTTGGTGGGGAGAGGAGAGGGTGTCCTGGTGAGAGCAAAGGGTTCTGGATCCTGTTGGATCAGCTGCTGGTGATGCAGGGGCACTAAACAGAGCAGAACTGGTTGGGCCGTTTACGTAACACGCCTCGGTCACGCCCCCAACACACACCCGCGCGCGCCCCCCTCATATATCCTTTTATTTTTTATATATTATAGTTTTTTACTTTAGATTCTGTTGTACATGTTTTCTGTTCACGAAGACCAGAGTTTTTTTAAAACTAAAAGTATTTTTCATGAACAAAATCAATTCACATTGTTGAAGAACATTCAGTTCTGGTTCTGACTGACCGATGTGTTTGGGCCGGGGGCGTGACTGTTCCATAATAGCGTCCGACGTCATAAACGCGCGACCAAACAAGCTTTTACTCTCTCCGCGTGGACTCCTCCTGTCGCGATAATGACTTCTGTGAGGTTTTGTCGAGACTGGTTTCTTTTAAGCTGCAACAAGAAGCTCGTAGCGGTTCACACTAAAGAGAGCAGGTTCGAACTGCTTCGTGTTGTTAGGGTTTCTGCCCGGTGACCCAGACGTGTTTGCTAGCTGTTAGCTAGGTGTTAGCTGTAAACAAACAGCTGACAGGGACTGGAGGGGAGGTTTCTTCTGTTTTTGTAGTGTTGTGTTCATAGAGAAGCGGCGCAGTCCCATCGTGACTGAACACTCTTTGTTTTAGTGAAAACGTCGCGATTGTGCGTTTAAAACCTTATTATATAGTCTCCTTTATTTGTAGTAGATCAGGAAACAGCTGTTCAGGTGGACTGGTTCGCGTGTAGTGCTTTCATGGCACTTCTCCAAGGTTCCCAGTTGCAAGTGGACTGTTGTCCTCTCATCTAGCGTCTCTGCTGGTTTCCTACTGGTGCTTATTAAACACTAAGCTATGCTATTTCACGTGTTCTCCACATTTCTGTTGCAGGGAACCATTTGTGTTTGATTGTAGCGATGCTGAGAAACCCCCCAAAAATCTGAAGGATGACGGAAACAGGTGAAAATGATGGTCATGGAGGGAATGAGCATCCACGAAAACACCCTAATCGTTTTACAACTGTTATCTCTGTCATCAGTAACAACGGCTCCACAGAGGAAACAGGAAGTGATGAAGTCCTCGCCATTGCAGTGTCTTCATCAGGAAAACTGGTGGCGTTAACTGATGACACCAAAAGACTGGTTCTGTTTGAGTGTGAGCCCTCATGGCGCTGCATCAGTACCAGGTACAGCTCGGACAGCTTTACACCAGCCAAACTTGGACCCAAAACACACTGCAGCCACCAGAAAGAGCTCTCAATAGAGAAACACAACAAAAACAAAACCTTCTTACAGTAACTTCAACCAAAGTTATACAAATAATGCCCTAAAGACCCAAACATCTGTTTGCTAACTCGATTTATCTTCATTTAATGTGATTTGTCTAAAGATCCAACTGGTCAGAGCTCACTCACACATCAGCCACTGATCACTCAGATGTGTGTGTATCATCTGAAGCTGTTGGTGAAGCACCGCACTAGAGACCAGGGCCTCATTTAGAAAACCTAGAGTAGGGTCCTTACTGAAAGCTCAGCAAAAAAAAAACTTTTGTATTAACACTGCTTACACACAGCTGCGCACAATTCTTGCTTTATAAATCAGACTGTGTGTGCGTGCATGCATGCTGTTGTTGAACAGGTGGGTGGTCAGGAGGTGCGTGTCTCTGGTGTTCAGTCAGGCTGAAGACGAGCTGCTGGTGGCTGATAAATCAGGAGACGTGTACTCGTTCTCAGTGGTGGAGCCACAGGCAGAGGGCGAGCTGAAGATGGGACACCTCTCCATGTTGCTCTCTATGGTGAGGATCAGTGAGCTGATGTTTTGATTGTTACAGCTGATCAACAAACATGTTTTCTTTTATTCTTCTATTAAACGTAGACTTTGAGTATCAGTGTTAGTTTCTCTCAGATTCATCACAGGTTTTCCCTGCTTGATTTTAGGTCGTTTCACCAGATGACAAGTTTATCATCACAGCTGATCGAGATGAGAAGATCAGAGTCAGCCATCGCAGGTCTCCGTACAACATCCAGTCCTTCTGCCTGGGACATCGCCAGTGAGTGTCTGGTATAAACACACAAGTCATTGATACACTTCAGTGCAACAGCTGTTTTTATTTCCTTGTTCAAAGGTTTCTCCTCTTAACGAGCTGTTGTTTTTGTTAACTGAAAGTAATGTGAAGATGCTGTAAAACCTCTCTGACCTGATGAGGTTGTCCCATCCTGTCTCTCAGGTTTGTCAGTACCCTGCACATCCCACCCAGCCACCCTCACTGGCTGCTGTCTGGATCAGGGGTAGGTCAGCATCTCCCTAAGTTATAAAGTCAAGAGTCATTCACATGACAAGCTGTGTGTAAGTATGACCTGTTGCTTCAGGCATCTAGAGCCTATGAAGTGTGTGTGTGTGTTCATCAGGACGGGACGATGAAACTGTGGGAGTTTGAGTCGGGCCGTCTGCTGCAGAGCTGGGACCTGTCACAGTTGGACGAGAGCCAGAGTTCTGATCCAGATAAGGTGCAGCTCCGTGTCCAACACTGTCCTCATGAGACAAATGTAAAAGAGAACATGTCCTCGAACATTTTACCTGACAAAGTAACGGTTAAAATAAACATTTAGAAAGTATCCTTCTCTCACCCACCTGCTCAATGATCAGCAAGCTTTCCCTGTAAAATGTTGGATCACACGCTAAACAGAGTTAGTTTATCAGCTGTTATCACATAATATTATTTTTCTTATCTCGATTCAATTCAAGTTTATTTATAAAGCGCCAAATCACTACAAGCGTCATCTCAAGGACCTTCACACAGTAAACAAACCAATACAGGTCAGGTCATTAAGCCAATCAGTAAAAAGTTTCCTATATAAGGAACCCAGCAGGTTGCATCGAGTCACTGACTAGTGTCAGAGTCTTTACAGCAATCCTCATACTAAGCAAGCATGCAGCGACAGTGGAGAGGAAAACTCCCTTTTAACAGGAAGGAACCTCCAGAGGATCCTGGCTCAGTATAAGCAGCCATCCACCACGACTCACTGGGGATGGAGAAGACAGAGCACACACACACACACAACATAGTAAATATTCTATTTGGTGAGAGATAAACTTTATTGTATTCATCCTAGTGAATCTATAATTAAACGGGTAAACTAGAACACGTCTCTTATTTTTATCTTCCTTTTTTGCACCAAGCACCACAGCAATTTCCTAATGTTGTGATTCTCGCACATATGGCAATAAAACCTTCAGATTCTGATTAACTGCTGGTGTTTCTGCTGAATCTAAACAGTATGAACTCACTCCACTCTGTCTTGTTTCTGCCGAGTGTTTCTAGACCCCAACCTGATCCAAGTTCTGTGCTTATGAGCCGGAAAGGGTCGATACGTTGTTACCATGACTGGTTTGTGTTCCAGAACACTGCTGTAGTGCGGATCATCAGCTCCTCTGATGGATGTCATGTAGCTGTACTCTGTGAAGGGTGAGTATCCTGACTCAGTTCTCCCTGCTGCTATGCTAATATATCTACTTAGTTCTATGCTAGCACATGTACCCTTTACCCAGAGCTCTCAAGCCTCATGCAATAAGCGTGAGACTCGCGCATTTTCCTGTTTTACACGCACTCACGCCACACATGAGATTTCTCACGCAGAAAATAAAAAAGCCCATATTGAATGGGCTACGAGCGATCAGTTCCCTGCACTCTGCACCTAACAGTGTTGTTCAGAGCTCAGCCTAAGCCCCGCCCTCTGTGTAGCTGTCGGTCTGGCATGCAGCCAAAGCTGCGTAACACTCCTCCTTTTGAGAGTTTTTGCTAGCCCAGGGGGCGGCAACCGCACGCCTCTTCCACCCATCTGATGCGGCTCTCTGTGTTTGTGAAATAATGAATGAATAAATATATTTTTATTTTACTGCATTAATTTTTTATCTGCATGCCAATTCTAAATGTGAAGGTTGTCTGTAAACCTGAACCGGTCCAACCCGGTCTTACTGTGAGACCGGGTTGACTGGTCACCTGCTTGTGCGTAATCAGATGTCTCTGTAGGAGCTTTCTGAGCTGAAGAGGATATGAGGTTCTGGACTCGGACAGGCTCATGGATGCGTCACCATTGGAGACGGGAACTAGCGCTATTTAGCCAAAGTTTCATCATCAGGAACATTTTCTAAGTGACGAGTCTCTCTGAGAGACCGGGTCTGGAAACACTCGCTTCAGTGGGAGGAACCTTCCTGCATGGCTCTGGTTCTGCGACGCGCTCCAAACCCCGATCTCCACATCTTCAGCTCGCTGTCCACCTTGCGTGCGCGCTGACAGCGAGCTGAGCTGAGCTGTGTCCAGCTCAGATGTTCAGATGGGAATCTTTTCTTGAGTGATTTAGCTACGTCTGCGATGTGCATAACGATGAAAATGTCAGTTCGTCTGCATGCGTCGGGGTAATTCTTTCCTTTCTTTCTCCATCAAAATAAACGGTCAAATACGGGAACTGTCCGGTCAACACGTGCCCTGCTTTTAACTGTTCTGTTTTCTTGTGAAAATTGTTGCAAACAGATAAAATTAAACTTGATTAACACCAGAGCCCTCTCCGTCACTGTAAATGAGGGAAAAACAAATTGATCGGATCCTTTTCTGACCTTCCCCACCTACAAAGTTTAATTACAACAATCAAACGTGACAGAGCCTGGATTTGTATTCTGAACACTTTAAACATGTGACAAAGGGGCACCTGCTCAGTAAAACCACTAACAGGGTGAAAAAATATCTAAATATTGCAGGCAGAGACTGGCTACAACTTCTGGATCCATTTTATACACACAGTTTTATTGATTATCTTCTGTTGAAAGATAACTTTTGAAGTACACGAGTGACCGGTATTGGCTGCTGACACCTGTTGTGATGGGTTAAAGCAGCTCCCTGCTGTGGCTCCCACCGTTTTCTTTACTGTGGAAAACGGGTAATAATGGCACTTTGATGGGAACAGATTGCCGACCCCTGGATTAGGTAGTTATTATTATTATTTGTTATTTGTAGCAAGGTGGCATTGAAATTTCTGACTTTTATCGATAATTTTTCCCCACGCCAATAAATTTGATAAATGAAAATGAAAAGGTGTGTGTAGGTTGGCAACGTTCATGTCCCTTTAAGAAGCTGCACCACCTTAAGTAATGTAAAAATGAGACTCAATGTAATACTTGTGACAGCCCCATCTAGTGGACAACTTGTGTTTCTGCGCACACCTGTAGTTATCGTCCACTTATCGTTATCGAGGCGAAACTCACACCATATCGTGATATTGATTTTAAGCCAAATCGCCCAGCCCTAGTTTGTAGTCATGTTAATTACGAACGTTTACAAGCTGATAAATCTCAAAGTACGTGACAGGCGTGGTCGAAACACCCATCATTACTTTTCATTTAAACTGCAGTACAACATGTGCGGATTAGAAAATGGCTCTTTTAGCCCCGTTGACTTGCATTCATTATTTCGTTCTTCCACGGACCCGTGGGGCGGAAGTGACTAATGGGCCATTCCCATCTGTACCGGGTCGGCCCGGGCCGGGTAGCCCCAGTCGGCTCCAGCCTGGCCCGGTTGATTCCGCACATCCTTGCCTTAAGCCCATGTGGGCTGATTCTACCCACCAATCAGAGGCTTGCTCTAATGGAAGGTGTGAATTTGCTGTCAGCAGTGGGTGTGTTGGCCCTGGTCGGCCTGAAGCAGACCCCCTCGAGAAGAGGGCTGAGAATGAGCCTTGGTTGGCCCGGAAAAATACCAGGCCACCCAGATATGTAAACAACCTACGCTACCCGGCCCGGGCCGACCCGGTACAAATGGGAATGGCCCATTAGACTCCCTATAGCACCCCCTTCAGTTCTGGAATGCTATTGGTGATTTCCAAATGGCATGAGTCTGAGAACTGGCCCGACGCCGCCCCTTTCTGCGTGCTGCAGCCAGGTCCTTGTCGTTTGTGCCGGCGATTGGGTCTTTTGTATACTCCTCCACAATGTTGTAAACAGCTTCAGATAGACCTGGCACTTATCTACGGTGCCACGGCGCAGCGCTTCTGGGTTGCGCGCTCCTCATGAAGCCACTCATTAACTACAATGGCATCTATTTAAAATGACAACACAGCGCTTCTGCCTCCAGTGTGCCCTATGCATAAGTCTCCTATTGTTAACAGCAATCAGGTGGATTCATGTGAATAACCTCAGTTAAGAGAAACACATATGATCTCTGATCAAACTGATAAGCTAACTGCTAGTCCAGGGATGACCTACCTTAGTAGGTCACTGGCAGAAAAAAACAGCCCTAAATGTTTACGTGTGGCTGGAAGTAGCTGCTCTTGGCCTGTAGCACTTCCAGGTGGGATTAGTTTTATGTGCAGGAGTAACAAAGAGCTGCAGATTCAGATTAGGAGGTTTGTAAACATTTGGTGTGTCCTTAAAGCTTCTTCATTAGAACTACAATAACTCCAGTGTGTCCTGTCTGTCTTTAGAGAGTCCACAGTTCATTTTTTTCATCTGGACCAAGACAATGAACAGAGGTTGGTTCCTCACAGTAGGCTCCATCTGGCCCACTGTCCCCTGGATGCGACCTTTGACCCGGAGGGACAGCTGTGGGTGCTGTTGGACTCAAGTGATGCGCTGCTGAAAATTCACACGCTCCGACAGAACTCCTGGCAGGTAGGATGGTTGGGCTGAAGCAGGGCTGTTCTGATCCGTGTTGGTGGATCGGTGGGTGCACACACACACACACACACACACACACGTAATGACGCTGCTCTTGGATCAGCTGCACCACTCAGGGCTCTTCTGCAGCTCAGCAAGTTGATTCATCTTTTAAGCCAGGGAAGAACATGTTTTTGTGCCTCTGGATGAAACTGATCCATCAGACTGATGTTTTTTCTATATTCTGAGTCTGATGGTTGCTTCTTTACGAGTGCTGATCAGAGATCTGCTGCTCCCTCTAGTGTCGGACTGACAGCATCGAACTCAGCAGAGTGAGTGAAGCCCTCCGGCCGCACTGGAACACAGCCCAGGGTGCGTCCTCACACCACCACGTGGTCCTGTCTTACAGGAGGTTCTTGGACCAGTACCTCCCATGCTAACCCTGCTGGTCTTCATTTTGGGCTTTAGGACTGGGTGGATCATCTCATCCTGTTTTCTTCTAACAGAGTCCACCAGAACCAGCCGCCGCTTTGAGCACCTGTATAAGATGGGCTATGACAACGTCTCTGTGTACCTGCAGAAGAAGCAGCAGAGGCTGGAGGAGCAGCAGCAGAAGAGAGTTAAAGCTCAGACATCGAACCGCAACAAGAGGCTGAAGAAGGACGCGTCTGCTTAAGGAACACCGGTTCTTCGCTCGAGATTTTATTTTCAACCTTTTTTCTTGTATTAAAGAAGTAAACTTGCTGCTTTCTGCACTTGCTAGTTTGGATTTAATAAATGCTGTTGATCAGTCAAAGGTCCAGATTCTACAGAGCGGTTTGGGTTAAGCAGCAACATCGTTGTGTTTACAGTTCATTTTCCAGTGGTTTCCATAATTTGATCTTGTTACAAGAACCCAGATGTCTACAGGAGCAATCGTGTGTTGAGCTGCAACAGTCCAGCACAGTTGGTGATCAGACCGGTCTCAGTACCTCATGCTGGCGTTAGCCTAGCTTTAGTCTGTCCCGATCCGTGCCAGAACGGGGAGAACTTTGGTTTGTATGTGAAACATTAAAGAAGTTGGTCAAAAATGCAAATCCCAAAAAGTATTTATTCGTTTTCTGGGTCTGACAGAATCCATCAGAGAGGACCCAAGTGCAAATGAACAGAAATCATGAACAAAGTATCACTGCTCTTAACGTCACATAACACACTACAGATGCATTTATGGACTCCATATAAACACAATGTAATAAATATTAAAACAAAAATAAATTTACAGGCTTTGTAGTTTTAACCACAACATTCAATTAAAGGACCAATCAGGAGCAAAGTGCACTTGTTTCACCCATTATGAACATAATCCCATCCAGCCTCCTGAGTCCCGCTGCCACCTGCAGCTATGGAAACCCAAACACCAGGTTCCCTCTTCTTTGGTTTAGTCGGGTCAAGGTTCTGCTCAGTAGTGGTCAGCTGTAACCGGTCCCACACAAACACCTGCTCAGAGGTGAGGTACGTGCAAGACAGTGGAGAGAAGAGGTGATCACACTCCTTCCTCAGATTCACGAGGACCACCCAGACATGTCCAGTCACCGTAAACCTTCAGAACAAGGCTGACAGAAGGATCACTGGACAGTTCTGATGTCCCCGGCCCGACAGCACCATCTCATCAGAATAAAAACATACAAACGTGGACTCCTATATTTAGAGGTCCAACTGAATTATTTACTTTCATCACTTCAGGCAAGAAGAACTCAACATTTGATTAGTTAGGTCTGTAACTGCTTTAGTGGTAAAACCCTTCTTCAGTGGTGATGTCAGCTCAACAGCTGAAGGTTTTCCTTACCCAGAAATAAACACCCTCAGCCCAAACCTGAAATATAACTCAATCTGCCTGAGGACGTGGTTGAGTTCAAGTCCAAATGGAAGTTTCCTCCTGACTTCTGCTCAGACTAAGGACACATAAGTGGGTCACCGTGGGGGCTGCTGCTGTTCCCTGTGGTTCTTCAGGTCCAGGTCCTCCCCACAGACGTGTGTGTGTGTGTAAAAGTGCCTAATGCTCCTTCAACCTGTGAAGCAGAGACACATCAGCGTTGTGCTTTATGATCACAAACTGATTATGTTCTTCTGTTCCTAGATGAGAAGTAAAATCACGATGAATGAAGGTGAACCTGAACACACCATTAACTTGTGTTTGTGCACATCAGCATCACCAAGAATATTAATAATCCTGACAGCAGTAAGGATTTAGAACATTATGATGTCATGAGTCACCCGGCCTGTATGGACAGGTCCTCCGTGCATAATGCACCTGACACGTGTGTGCTTACTTTTTCATGCCTGTATTCACACACATCTAATCACCTGGACAGTAGAAAGTAGTTGTAGCAGAACAGCTGATACTTTTCTTTTATCACTTCCACAACACCCTACCCATGATGCTCACTGTGTGTGTGTGTGTGTGTGTGTGTGTGTGTGTGTGTGTGTGCGCGCATAGGAACTACTGTTGTGTATAGTGTCATCTTTTTGATCTTTGCATTCTTCCTCACATTTGTACTCCTGTGCTGTCTGTCTGAGCTGTGGTAACACACACATTTCCCCACTGTGGGATTAATAAAGCTAATCTCATATTAATAATTATAATAACAACAATAAATGATAATACTAATAATGAGAACTTACTCCACAGCAGAGATGGGACGGGATTTAGATGAGGTCAGCTCCTTCATCACAAGTCGTAACAAAAGCTACACACACACACACACGCAAAAAACATAGTAAATGTCCTTGTGTGTGTGTGTATGTGTGTGTGTGTGTGTGGTTAAAGGACTTACCAACAAAGCAAGAAAGTCAGCAGTCATAAGCATGTAGAAGACCCGATGCCAGCCACCTGCAGACAGCAACCCTGCCAGCAGGGGGCCAACAGCTGCACCTGGGACACACACACACACACACACACACACACACACACACACACACACACACACCACTAGTTTGAATAACCTCTGTACTAGATCACAGAACTTTCTGGAGGTCCAGTCTCTCAGTGCTGGGTTTCCATGGTAACGAGGCATGTTGCTAGAAAACCTCTGGATGTTGTACTCACCGACAGAACCGGTACCATCAATAATGGCGGTGACGGTGGACAAGGCCCGGGCGTTGCCCTTCAGGCTTTTGTGGGTCCCCTAAACCACAAAAAGAAATGAGGGACGGCGGTAAAGACGGTCTGAGTGAGTTACTGACAGAACAGGAAGTGGGTGGGCTAACCAGATCAGCTGACACTGCAGTTGTGATGAGGGCATACGGTCCATTCACCAGTCCTCCACACACCAGCAGCATCCCTGGAGAACACAGGTTACTGCTCTACTGACCAGCAGCAGGACGCTAACGCTGCATCACACAGCTAGGTACGCCCAAACGTACGCAGACACAGTCCTGAGCTCACCGAGGACCTCCACACCGCACTAACACTAAACTTCCTGCTGTGGTGAAAACTTCCATCTACTGTGTTCAAGTGAAAAAACTAGTTAAGTTCCTGATTTGATGACGGCTGCGTGGGGTCTAACATCTGTGTTGTGGGAGTAAAAGCTCACCGATGGTTGGGCCCAGACCAAACTCACTGATCATGGAGAAGCCGTAGAGCTGTGAGACAAACCAAAACCCATCAGACATCCAGTCTCCACCGGTCTAAACCAGATGCAGGACCGGCCTTACCATGGGAGCAGCCAGCAGCAGCATCACAGCACATGTACTCGCTCTCTTGCCCAGTTTATCTGAGGTCACGCCAGCCAGCACCCCCCCTACGGAAACACAAACATGCATCTATTATAGAGCTATGTACGGTACTGAGGAGGACCAGAAGGTTTAATCCACACATCTTACCCACAATTCCTCCAACGTCAAACAGGGTGGAGAGATCTCCAGCTCTCTTTGCATCAAGGTGAGCTGAGAAACACACACACACACACACACACACACACACACACACACACACACACACACACACACACACACACACACACACACACACACACACACACACACACACACACACACACACACACACACACACACACACACACACACACACACACACACACACACACACACACACACACACACTTGTATGAGCGCTGTGGATCTGTTAGAGACAGAGCAGCCACAGCTGAATGACCCACCTGCTTTAGTGATGTACAGCGGCAGCCAGAAGAGGAAGGTATAACTGACCAGCTTGGCAAACAGCAGACTCAGAGAGAACTCGATCACGCCCTGCAGAAACAACCCACCCTTCACTGCCTCGGACACAGAGACGTGGCAGCAGTCAAACAGAAGTGATGCTGTGGTGTGTGACTCACGGGGATCCGCAGAGCTCCCATGAAGCTGATGGCAGACGGCTCCGACTTGCTCTTCACCACCACCACGGGCTGCAGAGGGACACACATGCTGTCCCGGGGCAACAGCAGCTCTGTGTCGTAGCTCTGGAGGGCACAAGGACATCGACTGGTGAAAACACGCTCGTACAATGGATGTTTAAACTCCCACGTGTTCATGAATGATTGAGTTTATACGTCAACAGAGATCAACTTCAGCTGCATGCAAGACTGTTTTGGAGAAGGTTCTGAGACCACAGCAACAGGTCTCCCAGCCACCTACTGAGCTAGACCCTGAGAGAAAACCAGCCTCTCTGAAAGTCACAGCCTGCTGGAGACAGTCATGATCACGAGAAAGAACACCAGAGTTACATTTGCTCAATCAAATAAGGAAACGTCATCTGGCATTTGGGAAAACCCAAGTCCAAGAATTCCCCGCCGATCCACAACATCCTGAGTAGAGGTCAACAGCACACCGTCCCCACTAGTGTTGGTAGCGTGCTGCGCCCCACCCACCCCCACCACCACGAGGCGCCGGATGGTGGACCAGAATCTCCTTGAAGCTGATTCTGTATAGAACTATTAAAGCTGATAGTGATTTTACGTTGTTATGTACACACACCACACACATTTACAGGTCTGAGATGATTTCATTAACCGTCACATGACTAAACCATCACACGTCAGCCCCCCACCCCCACCCCCACACTCTGAACCAGGCAACCAATTGGAGATGAGATGGAAAAAACTATCGGTTGTTAATATTGGCCCGGTTTAATTTATCGAACCGATACCGATATGTTAAAAATGACTGACATCGGCCGATAACGATACTGATGCTGCTGTATTGGGTTAGGGTTATGGGGTTATTATGTTTATCCCTGGTACTGTCATACGGTTACACTGTGGGAGGACAGCACACAACACCTTGACTCATTTAACAGGGACAAACACACACACCTGGTTTTTGTTGTCCTTGTACTGCAGATACACCTCAGTGTGTCCGTTTGCTCCATTCCAGCTCTTGGCTGACACCTGATGAAGGACAGCTGGTTACACGTCACACCCCTGCAGATGGTCCAGTAGAGACAACCAAACCTGTACTTACGCTCTTGCTGGGAGACACACTCTGAGCGTACATGCTCTGCAGGTCCTGAGGATCTGCAGGTGAAACAAGTGGGAGGTTAGAACACGTCTGCTCTGTCAGATACTCTAAAGCTTTGTTATCATTTGAAACCCGTCTTTGCAGACAGGACAAGTTAATGTCCTCATCCTAGACAGGAGCTGGCGTTCTGGTGGAGGACTGTTTACCTGGTGACACCAGGCAGGATTCAGTGCTGTGTGCATGAATGTTAACGACAGCGTCTGCTGACAAAAGCCACACACACACCATCAGATACACCCAGCATGATTCATAGGGACCAGACTGTCCCGCTGGTGTCCCACTGAGATAAACACCGGGACTAAAGCGTCACCACAGTACAGCAGGACACGCTACTATGTACAGTTACTACCTTATCTGCTACTTACAGCAGCTCTGAACAGAAGCCACACCCTCTTGTTTATGTTATTTGTTTTATTTTCTACAACAGTATTAAGGTGTCCCGTGTGTGTGTGTGTGTGTGTGTGTGTGTGTGTGTGTGTGTGTGTGTGTGTGTGTGTGTGTGTGTGTGTGTGTGTGTGTGTGTGTGTGTGTGTGTGTGTGTGTGTGTGTGTGTGTGTGTGTGTGTGACAGTAACGGTGTTTTATCTTAACAAACACCCTGAAGGGAAGCGTCTGTTCTTCATAATAACAAGAACTTATCTGTCTTCGGACACCGCGAGTGAAACACACAGCCTCTTGTTCTCACAGATAATGGAGACAAGTGGTTCTGTTAAGGTCCGATTGATCAAACAGCTTCTCAGATGAGTAATACACTTGGTGATGCATCATGAGGCTTAGCCACGCCCACCCTGGGATGAAGCTCTACGTATCTATTAGGATCATTTGTCACCATCTCAGGGAAGTTTGTTAAAGTTCATAGAGTAATAACGAGATCCAACATGGCCGACTTCCTCCACAAGACTCTGGTGGATCTTTTAACTGTAGAACGTAACGTATGACATCACCCGTTCTCCTAAAACACAAACGCTGCCATAAAACTGAACATGGGTGGAAAATACCAGGATTCAGCGGAAGCTCCGCATTTCTGCAGGCATGCTCAGACAGACGACCAATTAAAGGGCTAAACTTACGCTCAATGAGGAAGAGGAAGCAGACCACACCCATGGCTGCAATGATAAGTCCAGGTACAATGAAGGACATGCCCCAGTTAGAGGAGACCCAGTAGCCAGCTATGAGGGACCCCAGGATGTTTCCCACCGAGGTGTGGGAGTTCCAGAGCCCCATGATGAGTCCACGCCTGGCGGCAACACGGAGCAGCTGTAACGAGTTACCAGTAACAGACAGGCCTACTGCAGTATAGAAGTGCACCTCACCTTCCCTTTCCAAACCAGTTTCCTATGCAGGTCACTACACTGGGCCAGCCAGTGGTCTGGACCAGGCCGTTGGCCACCTGCAACATCACAGAACATCCTTTCAGTCTGCTTTGCTGCTTCTCCACACCGTCTGAGCAGCTGGTGTGCACAGCGTCAGGTGTAAAGGCGTTCCCACACACCTGCACACCCATGCATCTGAGTCGGTGCACACGTCAGAGGCAGTAACACAAAGAGCAACGTCTGAAGAGCTGCATAAGCCGAGCAGCAGCTGGCTTTACTCAACAGTCCCACCGACGAGCAGCTCACCTGGACAACGATGTAGAAGGTCAGGTTGTGGATGTTGTAGACGTAGCCCAGCCCGAACAGACAGGTGAACAGTCCGCTGGTCAGCATTCCCACGGTGAGGTACAGCCGGATGGGCAGCCGCTCCCCAATGATGCCACTGCACAGGGATGGGGTAATTACACAGGATTAACCTCACCCAGTACGGGTGAGGTGGTCTTACAGGCTGAAGGTGCAGAAGGAAAACTAAACAGAAGCAAATAAATGCTCCTAAACATTCGGTTTCATGCTGATGAGCTGTGGCGTTCATCTCCCACCTGAGATACATCCCAACAGCGTAGGCACAGAGGAAGGAGTAGTCCATGGCTCCCAGCAGCTGCTTGTAGTTGCTTTTATCTGAAAACAATCAACATAAACGTCATATTTACCAAACGCGTTCAGACTAAATCAGAATATTCAGCCTCAACGTTTAGAGAGAAGCATCTTCTAACTGTGATGTGCCTCAGATACGACGGCCATGTTGAGTTAGCTCCAGTAGCCAGGAAAGCAGCAGCAGAACAAGCCTCTGATCCTTTCAAACACTCAAGTAAGAAGTGTGAAGCAGACACCAACCAAAAGGTTTCCAGCTGCAGTCCACATCTGTGTGAAGGGAGGACACGGAGGGCTCCTGGTGTCCACTGCCGCTGGACGCCACCGTGGCTAGTTCAGTGGCTGATGAGCAGTTCCTGTGAAGCTCACTCTGGTGATGAAACCACACCGATCAGATAAACGGGAACACACACACACACACAGTCTCTGAGGTTCTGTTGTAGCGTTACCTTGACGATGCTAATAGGTTTTCTGGAGAGGTGGAAGCTGGTGTACAGAAGGAAGGTGAGGGCAAAGGTGAGAGCTCTGTACCTGGAGGATACACAGCACAAGCCTCGTCAGTGGGCTGGAACCACCCCGTCTCAGTTTCAGGCATAAAAACTTTATAGTAAGTTATATTAATGGAAATGTTTATTAATAATAATGGTTAATAAAAACCTCATGTTTAGGCTAGAGTAGTTACAGCCCTGTGCCAACAGGGGGAGACTCACCACTGGTCTCTGTTGAAGGACACCAGCAGGCGGATCCCTGGAGGGACAGGAGCCATGTTTGAGTCAAAGTCCAGATGATCGGGGGGACAGCCGCTGCTCGGGTGGATGGTGAACACACACACACACAAGCACACACACACACACGCACGCTCAGCTCATCTGCAGCTCCGCGTGCAGCCAGGGTCACTACGGGGATGCATCACTCACGTGTGAGCAGCCGAGTGTGAGTCTGAGACAGAAGGGAATAAAAACAGCCCTCAAGACGTTTAGAAGCTCTCTCTGGCTAACAGGTAAAGGTCAGATTCACAGGTTTCCTCTTGAATAAGTAAAACACCAACAGCCAGCTTCAGCACGTCACACACACATGAATGAGAAGGAGAGCATGTTTTAAGCATTCATCAGATAGACACGGAGAACACATCTGTACGCCACAGAGCCATGACCTGCTTCGTTTGGTTTCAGGTACATCCACATACTCGTTCAGCAAGCTGGCTCAGAACCGGTTTCCAGCTAGGATAAAAGCCCAGCTATGAACTCACTTCTTAGCCATCTCAGCTATTTCAAATGTTTTCTCAGGCTTGATCAGCTCAAATGAAGAAGAAAATATCATTTCTATAGCGCCTCAAGGTAAAAATCACGAGGCGCTTCACAAAAACAAAAATGTAAAAATATAAAAGAATTTAGAAAATGGTTAAAAATATATTTAAAATCAGCAATAAATAGACAATTGTGATTAAAACTGTAAAGATTAAAACTGTAAAGATTAAAACTGTAAAGAAAGAGAGAGAGAGAGTGAACAGGAAAGAGTGAAATCAGTGGGTCCTGAGAAAGGTGGAGGTGGGGACAGCAGAATAAAGAGAGTGGTGAAGAAGGTCATACAAATGCTTGAACAGGTGAGTTTTCAGCTGCTTTTTAAAGGAGTCGATGTCCTACACCCAGGACCCGATGTTTCCCACCAGCCTCGCCTCTGCCAGAGTGCCCCAGGGCAGCTGTGGCTACACTGTAGCGCACCACCACCAGGGTGCCTTGGGGGGGGGGGGGGGGGGGGGGGGGGGTAGAAGCCTAGAGGGCGCTATATCACATACAGGAAATGTACAGTCCAGATGTTCAGAGCTGCAGCTGATACAGACGACGGTTTGGGCCACTTGGAACAAGTTGGGTTTGTTTTGAGTTTAAAACCAGACTTTTGTCTGAGGTTAGTCAGAAATCCTTTTTCCTTCTATAAACATCTACGATAAAAGATATTACCATTCCATTTGGTGTCATGTTGTTATGGAAATGCAATTATCCATCCATCCACCTCACGAGTTAGCTTTGATCATTTCTAGCTAGCTGATTTAACAGCCCTGACTGAAGGGGACCTGAACCGTGTCTCTGTTCTGGGTCCAGCTGTGGTTCTGAGCCACTGGCAGGTCTGTCGTGGTTCTGGTCAGTGGGAGAAGAGATCTCAGTTAGTGTCTCATTAACATGTAACCAACAGCTGTTTCCATTTCCCCGGTCAGTGGTCGTAATGTTCTGGCTGAGCTGTGCGACCTGAGCAGCAGCTGTCCTGGACACCTCACCTGTTGCAGGTAACCTCCTAACAGTCTCAGTTTGGAGGAAGAGATTAGGCGTGATGCCACTGCACTCTGACATGCTTTATAAAACGCCACTGCTGCTAGTAATCTGGACGTGATTAACCCCATGGTCCCAGGTTTGTGGTCACACTCAGGTAAATCAATAACTCACCTGTGGGTCAGAACTAATCTGTTTGTCCCATAGCCACCTACAATAGGTAGGTAGATGCTGTGGTCCGTCACCTGACCTCAGGTGCTCTGCTAAACGTCTGGACTGTCCCTTTAACGTGGACTTGACGTTCTTGTTGAGGGCGGATGGAGATCCGTATCCGTGGCTCTGCACGTGAAGCAGAAGCTCCGACACCGTGTCCCCTACCCTCTGCCCTGAGCTAACCGCTGAAACTACGACGAGGAAGTCAAAGTGATGAGGAGGAAAATGCTGCGTCCTCGCTTTAGCGGAGCTTCCGCTGTGATTTAAACAGCAGCTAGCAAACGCTGGGCTGACCGTTAAGCCGCACCGGGAACAAGATTCAGCACAACACCTTCGTACGGACGAGGTTAGCTTACCTAAAGCCAGCCAGCTCCCTTCGCTCGTTCGGAGAAGTCTCCACTTCCTTGTTGTGCCAGAGGCTGGTCACATCAAAGCCACGCACACACTAAACACAATGAGAAACGGGAGCGCGCGCCGCGCACACACACACGCTGCAGCGCACGCTCCTCTGACGTCACTCTAGTCTGCGCGAGCCGCCCTGCCTGCCACGATCGCTCAGTGAGTCACTACAAGCACAGGTCCTCTCCTGTTTCATCTGGACATAGGACATCTTATGCCGCTAGCTTATCAAGGCGGCGCGTGAGCACGTGTCGTCTCTGAACCGGTCCTCTACCAGGGTCACGTTATTCTGTCCCCTCAGAACAAAGGCTGCCAGCTCCTAAAGTGCTCCAGCCCCCTCATCCTTCAGCCCGGTGTTTGTCGCTTGTGTCAGTGTGCCTCAGGCCAGCGTGGCTACACCGTAGCTCATCACCATCAGTGCATGAAAGGATGAATGATACTGTAGTGTAAAGCGCTCCTTACTCTGAGGTGCTATAGTATGGGTCATTTATCATGGATAAAGCTCACAAGCTAACACATGTGCTCTTGTGACACACGCCCTGTGGCTGCTCCTAAGGTGTGTCCAGGTATCCACCTGACAGCACAGGGACAGATCTATTCGTGGAGGTGCTTTTCTAGAGGATTGTCGCCAAGATAGACATTCACTCAATCTTTATTTACATATTGTCTTCCGTTGCCTTTGCGGGAGCCCAAGGTGCTGAACTAAAAACACTAAAAGCAGCAATAAAATGGAGATAAAAGCAACACACAAGATGTAAAGGAGCATAAAACCAAGTCACACAAAAACGGGTCTTCAAACGACTCTTGAAGACCTGCATATTCACACACCTGAGGACTTTACGGAGACCACATCTACACGGTAGAACAACAATGTGCTCTAACAGACCACACACGGCATCATACGGATAGAATATATTTTTATTCTTCATGAGTAAAAAATGCTGCACCGATACAAAATCCTGATGAAATCCAGAACTAAAGCGGTCCAAACGGACTTCCTGTTGAACACAAGGGAAGTTCTACTGGAGGTTCGCCTGATGAACAGAGAAACACTAAACATTTACTCTAGTTTAGTGATGAGGTTATGGTAAAAGTACGACCGCGGTCTGCCGCCCTGTAGCCTTCTGTTGTTTAAAACAAACTGATCAGTTTCAACATGTGATAAAACCAGAACAAGCTGCATGACTACTAAAACACGTCTGGTTAGAAAAAGTCTGCTGCCAGGGGTCGGCCTTTGGCCGCTCCTCTCGGAGTCTTTTTGCTGCCGTCGGGAGTCTCCCTCAAACTCCTGGTTCCCGGGGGGGTCTGGGACTTTAGGACCCCACATTTGGGTTTCTGCTTTGGGTCGAAGGGAACTCGTGACGAGCCTTCTGGGCTCAGCAACAAACTTCGGTCAGTCTTCCTGAACTCTGCAGGACAAAGAAAACAAAGGATGTGTGAGACGAGCCTGATGGGAGCGGTCCTCCCAGGTCTCTCGTGGACCCAGTCTCAGTCGAGCCTGGGTCAACAGACTTGTCTAAGTGACGTTTGATTAATAATGTCCTTAACCCCGGCCTCTGTTACAACACGAGTATGCAGCAGGAAGTAGTTAAAGAATAAATCTCCACGCCCACCACAACGATCCATGTGGGGTTTCTGACCCGTTAGATATGCGAGTCCCAGTGAGGCAGATTTATTAAACATGAGGCTCATGTTCCACGATAGACACGCCTCTCTGGGCAGGGACAATGGACTACAGAAACTCAGGGGAAACTCCACAACAAAGATAAAAATGTTTTGACTAGATCAAATGAGCGTCCCATTTCTTCTTCGGCTGCTGGTTCAGAGAGGTGAACTCCCATCGGTGGGAAGAATGGAGGTCTGTGTGAATAGAACCCTGTTTCCCCGTCTCTATGGTGTGTTTTCTGTGTCCTGTCCTCCTTTCTTCATTTAGCCTCTTTGTGTTGGAATTGGGTCATGTTGAGGCGCAGACATCTTTCCATCGTGTAGACCCGTCTCTTCCAGGATGTTGGTGATGGTGTAAAACCTGGAAGTGCTGCTGGTCCTGGTACCGCTCAGGACACAGAGGTTAATACAGAGAACTTCCATTACTTACCAGCAGTCTTATTATTCCGGAGCCCAAAAGTCACCTTCTTAGGTTCTGATTTGGGAGTTTGTTTTTTCTGTAGGACAAAAAAAAAATCACAGCAGGTCAGAGGTCCACCCCTGAAACATCCTTCACCAACCTAGCCATAACCGTCTAGAGCAGGGGTTCCCAACTTCTGTTGTTGTTGGACCCCCTTGCTCATGTCCAAGACAAGCCAGGACCCCAACTCCTACATGCGTACACACATTAAACGTGATCCGTTACCATCCTTACACACACACACACACACACACACACACACACACACACACACACACACACACACACACACACACACACACACACACACACACACACAGGTATAAATTATATATGGAGTTCTGATTATACTGTAGGCTGTCCTCACAATCTCAGCAAAGACTAAATTGTGGGGAACCCGACCCCCAGTTTGGGAACCCCTAGTCTACAACACTGGGGGCACCACTGTGCACAGCTCACGTAACCACGGTAACGTTGCCCATAAAATACTGAAGATGCTGGCAGAACTGTACAGCTTCAGCCTGGACTGCAACACGTGTGTGTGTTCCTTTACCTTCTTGCTGGGCAGCGGTGTGTTTGGGCGCCGGCTGCTCTTACAGAACAGCAGCTTTGGGACTCGGGCTTTGCTACTGAAGGTGATGAAGTCACTTCCTGAAGCGCCCACAGTCTTCTTCTGTAACTTTTTTTGTCTCAAAGGAGTGGCTGGCGTGCAGACGTCCTCGGTCTAAAACAAAAACAGTGATAAACTGGTCTGTGGTTCCACGCCTGAACATCCCATAATATTACAGCTGCTTCTTTGCAGCCCCTGAACAGAACATGGCAGTAAATCAGCTTTAACTCCACCGACGGACCAAACGCTAGGATTCTGTTCACCATCATAAAGATGGCGACCTCCACCGCTCCTTGGTTAGTCTGACAGGTGGTGTGTGTGTGTGTGTCCCAGAGGGTTCATCGCTGCTCATCTTTTAACCTGGAATACAATAAAATGAGTTTGTGGTTCCCAAAAGCAGCAGGACGTTCCACACATCCGTGTTCCACCTTAAACAAACAGGTGTGCTACTTCCTGTCAGGTACTTCATGATAAACATCTTAAACACCTACACTGTTGACTCCTGCTCCTGTGATGTCACCGACAGGTGCAGTCACATCCAGCTCATCTGCCTCAAACTCAAACTCCACAGGGATCTTCTTCCTCTTCTTCGTTGGTGTTGTCCTGGCAGGTGTGACCACATCGGGTTCTGTGTCCATGTGCAGCGGGCTCCAGTTCAGCTTTGGGCCCTTCTTCTTCTCTGGGTCTGTTTCAGCCTTCTCTCCTGCAGCAGCTGATCTTTTCCGTTTCTTCTTCTTCTGTGGTGTTGGAGCACCGTCAGCCTCTGATGCTCCTGCTTCCCCCCCATCTGCACCCACGGGGACCTCCTGCTCCCCAGCAGGACTCTTCTTCCTGCGTGACTTCTTGGCTGACGTTCTCTCAACAACAGCTGGTGACTCAGGACAGACTGCTGGTTTGACGTCTTCAGAGACACTGTCAGCACCCACCAGCTGTTCAAAGGACTTCACCTTTCGACCTTTCTGTTTGCTCTTGGCAGGACTTGGAGCAGCAGCATCAGGTGGTGTTATCTGCTCATCTGCCTCAGCTGGAAGGCTCTTCTTCTTCTTCTTCTTCACCAGGACTGGAGCCTCTGCTGCCGTGAAGCTTTGCTGCTCCTGTAGTCCCTCTGATCCTCCGGAAACACAAACGTTTCCTTTCATCTTCTTCTTCCCACTGGAGATGCTGGGCTCTGTGACCCTGGCTGGAGGCTGCGGTTCTGATGGGCTCTCTGAGGATGGGGAGGAGCTCTGCAGATGTGCTTCAGTAGCTGGCTCTTGTGTGCATTCTAGAATGCCTTTGTTCTCCTCATTCTCAGCTTTCTTCTTCTTCTTCTTCTGTTTCTTCTTCTTCTGTTTCTTCTCCTTGGCGTTGCTCACTGCTTCATCTACAGAATCAGCGTTGTTTGGTTTGCCGAATTCCTCCATTTCCTTTCCTGAAAGGAGCAGAAGGAGCGTTACTCTTTAAGCCTGAAATGTTTATCAAGCCACACACACACACACACACACACACACACACACACACACACACACACACACACACACACACACACACACACACACACACACACACACACACACACGCGCTTTACTCTTCTTTGTCACTGATGCTTCTTCCTCAGTCTCCCTGTGAGCTGATCTCTTCATCCTTTTCCTGGAGCCGAACATGTCGTCGTCCTCGTCTGTGGAAACCTCCTCTGGGTATTCATCCTGAGGAAACACACCTGCAAACAGGAAGTCAGGAGAGTTAGTGAGTGGAGGCCAGGCCAAACAGAGAGCTCCTCTCTCTCTCTTACCTTCACTGAGGTCACGGAGCCTGAAAAAACAAACAAACACAAGGTTAGCTAAATCGCTGATGCTTTACTCAGACCAGTTAAGTGGTTAGACATCCAGAAGCACCAGAGCGGGGCAGGATCACTCACACTTTGATGATTTTGTAGAGTTTCTTCCGGTTGTGTCCCGGTGTGTTGCTCCGACTGGCCAACTCAAACAGCTTTTGTGCCACAGCAGCAAAGTCGAACTGATAAAGACAGAAGGTGAAGTCTCATTCATCACAATAATTCATTAGAACAGACACACTGAAAGCTTTTCTCTAACAGGTCCTCCACAGACGGAGAAGCCTTAACCTGCAGGACAGGTCCCACGTCTTCGTGCGCCGACTCAGAGTCAGAGTCCTCCAGGTGACTCAGATCATCTTCCTCCTCCTCATCATTGTTTGGTTTGTTTCCTGGAAGCAGAGAGACCAACAGCTGGTTCTGAAATGGTAAACAAAGCTGGTAGTGGACCCAGATGGGCTGCACGAAGGTGCTGTGTGTGGAGACATACCATCGATCTGCCTCCCCGATCTTCTCCTGCAGACTGCTTTGCTGCTCGTCTTATCTTCTTCACATCCATCCTCTTCCTCTGATGCCTGTCCAGAGTCAGAGCTGTTCACCTCCTTCATCAGATCCTCCACAGCAAATGGAGCCTGGTCAATGATGGTGCTGAAGATGGAGCTGCAGATGGCACTGAGCAGCATCCGACTACAGATGAAACATGGAGCAGATACACGGTTACCATGGCAACAAGCAGGTTAAAGATGCTCTCTGGACCTATAACAGAAGGCAGAATAGGCTGGGGCATGGCCAGGCTGCTCGGCGTCCTTTGACTCATCTTTATTTACAACTCCCAGGAAAACAGCAGAGGAGAGAACGGTTACAGCACACAATCAAAACTCACTTCTTGGTTTTTGCAGCAGTCTTGCAGAACGGTTCAATAAACATCAGGTTCTGGTCGGCAGTGAGCTGTAAGACATGGACAAAAGCATTATGGGATGTTCTTCAGATCCACGTCTGAAACAGCTTCGATGTTAGTTTTCTCTCCCCCCACACACACCAACAACCTGAACAGCACTAGATAATACGCAGAGAGGTGCGGTACCTCTGCTGCACCAACAGCTGCCAGCTCAGACAAGTAGAGATTCAAGATGTGTAACTGCAACCCAGAGGGAGCCCCGCTGTCCGCCTGCAGCAGGTGGGACGTCAGCAGCTGCAGGAACCTGGCCACCACACTGGAGGAAAACGAGGCGTTACCTCACCAAACCGAAGACCAAGGAGGGACAAACGGCTCTCCCCGTTACCTGCTCTCCCAGCTCTGTCTCCTCAACACCTCAAAGCTTTGCCTGAACATGAAGCGAACCACCTGCCAAAGATTGAAACCATTTTTTACAACTTCACCTTCAGACATTTCAGATGCAGTCATTCACACTAAAAGGCTGGTAAAGGGTGTCCCTTAACCCTGATTGTTGTCTCGGCGTGTAGCAAACACAGCTCTACCCAGGTTTTCATCCATTTATTTAAACTACTATGAAAGTATTTACACTTCAAGCCTAAGGGTCTGTTATATTTGACCTCGTCCCCAACTTTGAGTTGGGACAATCTTGCAGGTCTGGTCTTTGAAGGTGTTTTCTGGTACGAACGGTCTGCGACATCATCAAAGTGCTCCTGAGGAGTCCGACTGCCTTTAGAGGACAGCCTTAGGGCATCGTACACAGAAGGAGCACGTTTAAAACTACAAGTTTTAAGTGCATTTTGGACTGAGAGCTCAGTTATGTTAACTTCTGTAGCAAACTCAGAACCTCACACACACACCTGGTAGAACTTGTCCATCCGCAGCCTGTCGATACCGGTCCACTCTCTCTTAAGAGTTTGCAGGAAGCTCTCCATGTACAGTAATTCTGCAGACAGTCAGTTTTGTGACACACAGCTACCCTGGTCCTCCTGAATGGTACATTTTTAAAGTGATGAACTGTAACTTACGTTGGTCTGTGTGGTGGAAGTGGTGGATGAGGGTGGAGATCTGATTAGACAGCTCTTCCTTAAAAACAAGAGAAGATCACATGAGAGGCTGAATGAACCATCTGTTAGGAGTCAAACAGGAACACCAGCACCACTAAAGTACAGCTAAACTACACTATGGCCTCACTCTCAGACAACGGCTGATAACATGAAGTCTAATGGATAAAACTCATACCAACAAGAGAGAATCCATCATCCAAATGATAAAAATGACCTGATGAAAGTTATGGTGTGACTGAGGAACTTGTAGCAGCCTCCTGATGCTACAGAGAGGTGGTTAATACGGATGTAATGTTTAACAAGTTCCTGCTACAGAAATCCAAAGCCCTCCTAACGGACGTCGGTGTAACCTTTGACCTTCCATGATATGGGTCATAATGCGGCTCTGGTAGCCCTAGCCTGGCTGAGGAACGTGTAGACGTCATTAGCATCATGTTGGTCGTACGCTCACCCACCTGCAGCAACAGTTTGTCCTGCATCCACAGGCAGTAGAAGAGACCCTTCCACAGCTTGAGCAGCTCATCTGGTTTGAATCCACCTGTGAACACCCAGCCATGATCAGCAGAACCAACACAACCTGAACCAACCAGCCTGAAATCCCACATGGCTAGGGTTATGTGCATCATCTACACACAACTCCTCTGCTGCCACTCGTTTTATTTACGTTTGTTTTGTAAAATTAAACATAAAAGCTGAGTAAAATCATCACACTGCCATTGCGTTGGGCGCCATTTGTTACGGTTTAGTCAGTATTTAGTGTGTTGTTAGTCGGTTCTGATTAAGCTAGCAGGCTAACAGGCTAAATGTTTACCTGACGCGTTTTGAGAACGAACAACGATGTATTTCCTCAGTTTCTTTATGGCCTTGGACCGAATCGCCTTTTCATTAGAGGCTAGTCTTTGTGCCAGCAGAACTTCAGGTTCCTGAAGCGACGCCATGCTTACTAGCTCTCACGTGGACGCTCAGCTGCTGGGTCTCCTTTCTCTTTCCGGCGCGAACCGATGACGTACACCCAATGTGCGCAGCCGTACACAAACCTAGCTCGATTCTCGGCACTATCGCTTATTCTTGACAAATATTGACTATGAAATTGTTCAACTTCACAATGAAAACCGATCAGATTCGAGCAGTTTCCCATTTTGAACACAAACGTCACCGAAGGGTTTCCCCGTGGAGCAGCGGTATTTTACTGCCCTCTGCTGGACAAAGAGAGATAATGCAGCATTTTCTATTATGTTTCACAGTCTGTTACAGGGTCACGTTGTCTCTTATTTAGTCAACAGATGTCTGAACATTCATGATTGCCGAAGGCTGGAGCTGATCTGTGAAGACATTTGTTAAGCTTGCTAAAACCAGGAACATTAAAACATCTACAATGCAGAGCCAAGTAGTTAACCTATTTACAGGAAAAACACAAACTAGTGCTAATTAATACTCTAGTGCATCACTCAAACCTGAGGAACATCACCCCAACACGCTGCGTCTTTATAAAAAACGTTGAACAAAACTGATCAGACAGAACCGGAGTTCATGAAGTGTTACAGCGACGCTGGCGTCTCATCCCGCATGAGAGGAGATAAAAACAGATTCATCAGAGCATCCTGCTGAAGAACAGCTCCAGTCCTGTCCACAGGACCCTAACGTGCCTGTAAGAATGCCAGAACAAGCAGCCAAGTCCACAAATACCTCCATCATCTATGATTGCTGCTCCATCCCTGTGACTGTGTCTGAGTGAGCTGATTGCTTCAACAAAAGAGCCACATGCATCACCCACACCAAAAACAATAACAACAGTTCATTTCCGTTCATTTCATGCACAACATAACTAAGCAGGCTGAGAGGAAATTAAATCAATGTCAGACTCAGGAAGCTGAATGGGTGGAGAGAGACAAACACACCAAGTCCTCAGTTTAATGTCTTCAATAAATAACTGCGCTGCTGAGTTAGCAGCACAGCAGAGTCCCCTGCAACTCCAGCCTGCATTATAAAAGAGACCCAACAGAGCAAGATTTAGAAAATGACAATGGTGCTCCACATGGCTGGTCTTTAATAGCTGCTCCTCTGTAACGACATGAACCTTACATTTCTTAATCTGTTGGTTCAGCTGAACCCAGATCAGGGCTGGCTCAGAAGGGGGCCAGGCCGGGCTGGGGCCAGCTGCCCTGTTGGAGAAACTTAACAACACGACATTACAAACATCGCCTTTAAAGAAGTGGAACTCTGAAAAAACATTTGAACGATTATTTCTGATTATAATCGGTCACTCTGAGTGTTTCATGCAGGCTGAACATGAAAATAGTCTCCTGCACCTATCTGCTGCATAGCTTCTGATAGAAAGACAGTGAAACTCTAGGATTAGAAAAGCCTGACAGATCTACGTCACACTAACATTCATGGACTCACCCATCTGGACTCACGATGGGGAAGGCTGTTGTTGGCTTAGCGTCCAGGAAACAGCAGAGAACGTCTCTGCAAGTAGAAGCTAACCGTTAGCATTAGCAACTCCACCACACAGCAGAACTCCTCCAGGCTTGTGTTATTTCTGTAGAGCAAACAGAGTGAGTATTAGAGTCACATTGCTTTTAGCCAATTAGAGGCGAGATGTCCATATATCAGGAAATAAGAGTCCAGATCCTGCTGCAGCCAGCAAGCTGTCAGGCCTGGGTTATTAAGCTTGGTTTATGCTTGACGCATTTACTTTCCACTTGGTGATGCGGCTCGCGGATGGAACACGCTTCACAACTCGCAGCGTTTATGGTTCATGCGGCTTGTCTCTGCGGTGAGCCAATATTCTCCCAAACTGAACGGGGCAGCATGGAGCTCTACGGCATGCATCCAACACTACACCATAGTAGAAGTAAAAATTACTGTTGTTTACAACATGGCATTCCAGCATTTTTTTTACAGCGTCCTCGTCTTTTCCGACAGTGCGAGCTATTTGTCTCCAAGAATTATTAACAACATGTTGATCACGGTGATCTCTGAGAGCTGAATCATACAAATGTATGTATTTACGAGCCTCTGCCATATTAGAACTAGTATGGCAGAGGTTCGTAAATACAGCATCAACCCTCCGGGGGTTTCCGCTGACTCCTTTAAGCACCTGATCTGGTTCTACCCCAGGAAGCCCCAGTAGAGAGCGAGGAAGCTGCCTGCAGCTTGGTCAACATCCCACCTGCTTCCAATCCTCCATGTACCAGTAGCATGGATGATTCTAGTCAGGGCACAAGCAGCAGGACCCTACCTGCTTGTTTGTGTTTCCCACTATTGTGATGACTTGACACGCCTCTCTTGTGCTCACCTTGTGTCACCCCGCCTTCCTCAAATGTCTGTCTATGAACACCCTTTGTTCTGTTCCCCTGGGCAGCTTGTTCTGGTCCTGCTACAGTCTACCAGCCTGATGAAGTCTATGGATTACCTGTTCCCTCTCCTCTCTGCATCTGACCCAACTAGCCCCGCCTTTCACCTCACATCTGTTACTGTTATAATTGCCGCTAGTGCCACAGCCTGTTAGAGTTCTGACCTTCGCGAACATTTTGAGATCTCTATGTTTTCCTTCCATGCAGCCAGACCCTGCTGTAATCTACTACCTAGAAAATATAATCTGGGCCTTTACCAGCAGTGTTCTAGCTGCACCTTTGAAAAAGAATTAATATAAAAATAATTGACAGCAAACATGATTTCAGCTCCAACAAGGTGATTTCCAAAGAGCTGCTGAAAACCTGTCATCCAGTCAGAGATGAATTGAAGGATCGAGCATCTCTCCAGTCCTGTTGCAGGTATTTGATGGATCAGTTCTTGTTTCTAAAGACAAAACCTTAAAACTCTGTTCATCTGCAGGAGACAGATTCTTCAGCCTTGCACCATATATAAACTGGGATTTCACCTATATGGAATACAACAATTGCCAAAATGAACCTTTTGTTTTTCAGGACACTTAGGCTATGTTCACACTGCAGGCAAAAACGCACCAAATCCGATTTTTTTCCCCTACTTGTGACCCATATCCAAGCCCCCACAATGAGGCTTTAAAATTGAAGCCAACCCGGAAGTAGCAAAAATTGCAGTTCCACCCTCATCCACTAGGGGCTGGTGTCAGAAACGAGCAAATCCTCATTGACTCCCATGTTAAAAATACCAATTTCAAAGCAGAAATAAACATGTTTACAGCCTGGTACCAAAACATGTTTTTGGTTTAAATGATCTAGTTTACACTCATGACAACTCTGAGGGGGGTGAATTTTTTTCTCACTCGTCTGTTTAAGTGTATTAAAAGCCTAAAATTCTGTATAATTAATGAGCATCCGACCCACGTGACCACAGAGCTAGCTCCATGGAAAGGCCTCAGTAGAGCCTCGGTCTGGCCTGGAAACTGTTTCGGAATTTTGAGTCTCTGTGTTTGTGAATTCTGTTTTGGATATTATTTGTGCAATTGTTGGACAAAATGACTTGCTGTGGCATTAATTTCACTAATAGAGGGTCCAAGGAGTCTCCACTTCATTTTTTTCAGTAAGTAAAATTATATTTTTGTATTTTAGGTCACTGCCGCCTTTTTAATAGCTGAGTTTATCAAAGTAGCTAGCTAACTATCATTTTAACATGTAGCATGTACTGTTTAACCATGAAATTTAGATGTAAAATATGGTAAAATAATTAATAGGGCATATGTCGATGGGTAAAACCCAGTGCATTTAACATAAAAATGGGTTGAAATATGACGGAGCGCTTGGAGGGACACTTCTGTGTTTCATTCTTCCATCTGGTTCTCCCCAGCGGGCAGGCCGGTGCATGTCTGACCGATGCGGCACCTAGCTGTTGCGCGGGCTGACCACTCGTGGAGCTCTCGGACTCGGAGACAGATCTGACCGCAGAAATACTGCATCTCGGTGAGTTGGTTGATAGTGCTTGATGTTAGTCTCCAGAAGTCTATAGGGCATACAGGGTTTCCCTTACATAGGCGTAGCCGTGGTGGCCCGACACGGCTGAAATCCCACCGCCACGCCGACAAGATCCCAAGTTTTTTTGTTTTTGTTGGCGCTGTTTCCCGAAGAAGCAGCGGGAACTACTATGTTGTCGCTTGTGATCACAGCTGGCGGGCAGCAAGGAGGAGCAGGCAGGGCAAGGTAAAGTTACAGCATAAGTCCGCCGTCTCCAGTTCGCCACTTTTCACAAAATCTTCTGGTTGCCACTGGTCCTGGTGGTTTTTCTTCCAGTTCGACGAGTTTTCATTTGGAAGGCTGGCTGACTCCAGTTAAAAACCGCCACATTTCACCGCTAGTTTTAACACGAAGCTAACCGCTAAATTGATTAACTGATTGAATGGGATAGGTGGAAATGACGTTGGATGCGTCTCCACCTTGCCACACGTTTGTGTAAGTTGCATGCAGGCGGGAGGAGTATCAGAAATCCGTGGAAGATGACTGATAAACATAACTAATTTGGTGCAAACATTTACTCGCCAGGTCGCAGGTAGAGCTCAAAAATTTACTCGCCAAATGGAGCAATTTACTCGCATTTGGCGAGTGGCAAGTGTTAATTTCGGACCCTGTCTGTGCCTAAAATAATTTGATGTTATTCATCTTGTTAGTTTAATTTCCATAATAGCGGAGCAGGTGCGAATTTTAGACGCGTCACACGTCTCCGTTTTAAACATGTTTAAACTGTTCAGAATACAAATCCAGGCTCTGTCTCGTTAGATCGGTGTAACTAAAGTTTGTACTGAATGAAACTTTTCATTAAACCATGTTGAAAAGAACAGGATCCGATTAAATCGTTTTCCCCTCATTTACAGTCACGACGTACAGCGCAGTGCGCGTGGCTCTGGGGTTAATCAAGTTTAATTGTTTCTCTTTGCAACAATCTTCACAAGAAGGCAAAACAGTTAAATGGCAGGTTACAGATATTTCCATTTGACTGTTTATTTTGACGGATAAACTCAAGGATGCTGGTTGTTTTGAAAGAATTACCCCGACGCACACTGATGCGCATGGATGAGCTGACATTTTAATACG